GTCCAGAATGGCATATATAAAACACAGCTCTGAGCAATTTCTCACCAAAAATATAATACTATTAAATATATTATATTTAATACAAATATAATATAGATAAAATATCTTTGGTCCAATTGATAACTACAATTACAAAGGTTATTATTAGTAAAAATGTCATATTAATTATTTGTCTGAATTCCTATACTAAATTTTAAGATGATAAATTAAATAGTTAAATTAATTGTATTTATATGCTAAGTATTTTAAAAGTTTAATCATTTTGTACTTCTTTATAAATAACAAGTGAAAAAAATATTTTAATTTATGTTATAAGTCAATTCAAATGTAGCAATATTGTGTTATAATGATTATTACCACTATTTTTGTTGTTCGTATTATTGTTTCCATATGTTGGTATTATAACCATTGTTATAAGTAAAAACAAAAAGATTGCTTTTTTAACTATTGCTTTCCTGAAATAACAAACATATGTAAACAATTGACAATTTAAGACTTAAAGTATTTAAGATAAAATGTATAAGAGTGAACAATTAAAACCAAAATTGATTATTTTTTACTTACGTGTTTAATGTTGTCTTCATTTTGTTTTATGTGAACTAAAAAATAAAAATTGTATTAGTTTAGTGAAATTCCACAGTTGTGTAAATACTTTTATTATTATATTTTAAACATAATAATTGTATATACAACTGTTACAAATTTAGAATGGGCTTATAAATTTGTCATATAGGTTTGAATTAAAACTAAAAATACATAAAACAATTTCGATAAGTTAAGAAATTATATTTATATAAGCCGACCCATTAAATTGATATTACAAATATTATATCTTAATTGTTAAATACAAGAAAATTATTTTAATTAAATAATTTTAGACTTCTAGTGGCTTATGAAACGTATAATTCTTTAAATTTTATTTCATAAAAAACAAGTTATAATATTATATGATTATATAATTAGTAAATATAATTAGTTATATAATTAGATTATAGAAATGTTTGCAAAATGTTGTTTATCCGTCATGATATTTATAATTTATACTGTCATACACCTTGTAACTCAACTCAGAGTTTACTAAGAGTGTGTTCATAAAAAAAAATATTATAGTTATTGCAGAATTCAATAATAACAGAGACATTTCAGTTTTTTATTGAATAAGATGGCTAGAATCATTGAAAAAAAACAGCTTGAGTAGATACTTACTAGAATTAAACGTTGACTAGACTCGATTGAAGTAGATGAAAATCGTGAAAAAAAAATAGTTTTCAGTGTTTACAAGCAATTCCTATCGCATTAAAACGGTGAACATATACAACTCAAACACGTGAACAGAGTAAATTATTGTTAAGGAAAACGAAAACGTTAAGGCAGCCGCGGTCGAAATACGGAAATTACGCGTCACTTTTATTTACCCGCGAACGTACACCTACGGTAAATAATGGTGAAAAAAGATGATTGGTCGGGGGGCGGTACCAAAAATACGTTACGACCAATTTATCATACTTATGAAATCACGAACAAAAAAGTGATAAACCGAATTCTATAAGGGCGGGAATTCAAAAACGATGAGTACTTTGTTGCTAACATAAACACGATTTCTAAAGCCACGTTTACACTTGCGTAACAAAACAACAAACTGTTTTACAAACCGTTCACCAAACATCTAAAAAATATGTGTGTAAGTTCACGTATAGCTAACCAATAAATTACCTTATAACTTAAATAACCTTTCCGAAAAAACTTCATAGTAGTTCAAACTATCCTGGAGTATTGACGCTTTTCATGTCGCTTCAAATTGCTGCTGCAGCTTATGGTTTATATTCATCTTACACTAAAGAAAAATAATAGAAAACGAAGACGATGTTGGCAAACCCAAATTTTTACTCATCGATTAAAATTTGTAGGAAATTCGTTATTAAACGATTTAATAACGCAAGAAATTAATGGACAGTTTCAAAACTGTATGAGGATGCGTCAAGTGACTTTGATTTGCTTATTAATTTTATTGGGCCAAAAATCGCTAAAACTGAAACTATTTTAAGAGAACCTATATCGGTACAAGACAACTGCCAGTAACACTTCAATTTTTAATCACTGGTGAATCGTTTATAAGTTTGCAGTACTTTATCAGAATGTCAAAACAAGTCATTAGTAATATTGTTAAACTTGACTTAACTTAAAAACTGATTATAAATAATAATAGCTTAATTTTGTGCGTTCGTGAAAATCATCGAAGATGTATCCATACCTGTCGTAACATCGTAACATGTTTGCGTAACATCCGACGTTACGTCGAAATACCGACAACTGACGGATTGCCGATTTGTTCGATAGAATATTATAAGTTCGCCCATTTGTTACACACGATTCCTATTCGTGAACACATGTTCGTCGTTTAAACGACGAATTGTTACACTAGTGTGGACGCGGCTTACGCCGTGTCCTACGTAAATACGGCAAATCCAATAATCGCAATACGATGCGACGATTTCGTCATCCGATATTGCGGCGATCGGATACGTGGCAAACGTGAGATCGCATTAATGGACAATAGTAGTGCGACGGTTTTGAAGGTAGTAGGAACATTGTACATGCTAATATTCGCATAATATAATATAATATTCGTTTAAAAACATTAATCATGCCTTTAACCACGCTACAAAACAAAATGCTTTTGACTGAAAATTCGGTACTTAAGTATTTATTATATAAAAGGTAAGTTATAAATTTAATTAAATAATGGTAAATTATTAATAATTTTAAGTGAATTTATAAATATGTAGGTAATATAAAAATAATGTAATAATACAATAATATTATATTATATACGTAATAATATTAATAGTATAATATACGTACATAATAACTAATAAGTAAGACCCAGCGTAAAAATCGCATACGAATATGCGATCAAAAACAAACTATTTTGTTTTTCAACGCATCCAATATAACCAGTCGTATTGGTCGTGTCGTATGGTCACGTCGGACACTCCCGTTCGTTTTCGGTGATTTGTATATTTTTAGAAATCGTATCGGTCGCATCGTATTGCGATTATCGCATTATCGTATTTACGTAGGACACGGCGTTAAGGGTCTTCCCGTTATGAAAATCTTACGATGCATACCATCTAGTTGTTTTGGATTTAAAAGTCACTCTAGCAATCAGATTGATTTTTAGTCAGTGAATTCTAATATTGTTTTCTCTGAAATAAATATGTAGAAATACTATAGAGAATTTTATTATTTTTTTTTCTACTGTCATAATTTATTCAAAATTGTTCCTTCAAACCATCCGAATAATTGTATAAAATAAATATTCATACTCAGCAAGACGAGGCTTTTAAGTTGTTATAAGTCTTATATCACAAATTTAATTGAAATTGATACACTAGCAATTTCAAATTGATGGAAATTACAGAAATTAAGAAATTGGGCAACATGAAACAATAAAGATTTTTATATTTTATCGGGTTTCAAATGTTCGATAAATAATGTTAACTTATTAATTACAATACACATAATTTACTTTTTATATAGATAAAAATTATTATAAAACACCTGCTAACAATAAACTTAAGTAACAATTCAATTTATTCAGGATTTATTTTTTTTTTTATATTTTGTTTTTATTTTAGTCATTTTATTTAGATTTAATAGTTTTATTTTATTAAATGTAAATTGTACTACCAATATAGAATAATAAAATAACAGCACCATCAAAAATCACTGTAAATAGCTATTTACCTTCAACATAAGTTTACTTGTAGTAAGTTGATAAACCTATATGTACATTGTATAATTATTTAAAAAATAAATATTATTTATTTATTTTAGGTATAAAAATATTTATACCTAAAAAGTATTTTTTTCTGGTCCATTGAATTATAAGTAATCTACATTGAACTGTAAAGTAACCACTTTAAAATAAATACTTATGTGTACATTTTAATAACGTAACAACATCTGTAAAAATTAAATCTAAATTTAAAAGAAACTATACTAAATTACAACAAATCCATTAATTAAAAATTAAATATAACAATAAAATTAAATAAGACACATGGAAATGAAATATTTATTAGATTTATTGAAAAACTATGGCTAAATAATATTGACACAATTTGAGAATAAATTACAATAAATATAAGGAAATAATACTTCAGAATATGTA